GGGCCCGGGTCCTGGGGGTGGGCCGCGGAGCTGCTATAACCCGCCGTTGCTGGCGGGACTGTGGCCACCGAGGGTCCGTGTGCTTATTCGGGTTTCAGCAGCGGTTTCCTCGCTGAGAAAGTCGAATGAGAGCGGTGGAAGGACCTGAGAGTTAACAGCTGAGGCTCAGAGCATTCATTTCAGTCAAGAATGTTTCCTTCCTGCGCTTTATCTTGTTTCCTGCCTGCTTAAAGAATGCCACCCTCTAATGCATTTGAGAGCAGGCAGCTGCTTCAGAAGTGGTGACTCCCTTTAAAGGTAATCCTCACATGGTTGGCTTGGTGTCAACAGCCTTAGCACTTCTTGGCTTTGTAACCGACTTGCTGGTTTTGATAAATGGTAACAAAAAGCTTTTATCTGACCATACTTAGTGTGAGCATTAGGTATGTCACTAATAGGTATGTTAACTGGTTGCTAAAGATACATGGCCAGAAATTACTTGAGAGAAAAAATATCAGTTGCCTAAAGAAGAGTTTATTTGAATTAGGAGCAAGCAAGGACCCAGTGGGCAACTGCCTGAACTTGAAGGTGGTAGCGGGCTGATGGTTAGGATTGTAGTGAAGTGGGAGATTAGAAGGAGTCTGTGTGCTCGCCTCTAGCTGATGCTGTTGAAATGGCAGCATTAGTGGATGCTTGCAATTTATCAGAAATCAGGAAAAGCTGATGAAAAAATAAAAAAGATGTTTCTGCTAGTGCAACCTCTGCTGTGGTGTTTCCTTGTAAGCATTCAGTACTGTGGCTTGAATTCACCGTATCCTGATCTGCCTCTGCTTGCCTGGAATGCACCACTCCCTTTCAGCCTTTCCTGCAGCAAGCCATTGTCTCTTCACCCTAGAATTCAAGTGAAGAGGCTTAAATTGCTGCTGTGTGATGGCTGTACAAAAAAACCCGCCATGCCTGAAGGTAGAAGAGGGAAGCTTTTAGAGATTGAAGGTGTCTGAAATCAGTAGGGAATGTGGATGCAAAATGTCTGAAATTAGTATAGGATGCAACTATAAAATGAATGCTGTGAGCATGTGAAGGACGCAGGACAAATGGCCTGAAGAGACAGGTTTGGCTGCCTGGAGAGGCCGGGTGCACCAAACAAGCTGTAGAGAAGATGGGTTTCTGAGTATTGGATTCTTGAAATAAGCTGGGAGGATAGAACCAGCGACTATGTATCGTGGGGTTCTTAATTCATAGCTTTCATCATGCAATAAAGAAGTTCCTAATTCCCATGAGATGGCTCTGCCTGATAACGTAGATCACTTCCCACTTTCATCTGGGCCAGTCACCTGGGCCCGCCCCTAATGAAGCACTCTCCAATATATCAACATCAATTGTGTGCATTATTAATCAGCAAGCGAAAGATTTTGGCCTCATCAGCTCACAACAGGTTTTTTTTTTTATGGGACTATAGCATACTTAAGCCAATTTATTTAATGCTGCTTCCCGTTTGTCTTTCAGCATATTCTAGGCAAAGAGTACAATGGTTTATTAAAGCATGCATTTTTGTAGGGTAGGATGTGTTTATGGACTGCGACTTCTCTAAACATGGAGCTTCAGTGGGAAGGAAATGGGTATTAGTCTCCTTCATTGAAGACAATGATGACTCTGAGCTGTTGTTTCACCTCTCTATTGTGGAATTAATAGTTACCCATTCAGTTTCCTCATTCAGTATCCTCAAGTCCCTTAGACTTCCAACAGGGGAAAAAGAATTAAAATCATGCAATTAAAATCACTGGTTTGTGAGTTCACCATCCCTTCAAAAATCTTACCTGATACAGTCTGTTTGTGAGAAACTTAAGGGTACGTAGAAGTTTCACCTGGTTACAAACATCCAGTTTTTCCGCTTAGAACTGCAGCTGCAGGGCCATATTCAGCATCGGTGGTAGAGCATGTCAGCATCCTTGGCACTTTGTTCTCTGTCCTCAAGCCTTTTTTTGAAGTTCACCCATAGAAGTCTTAACAAGGACACCCTTTTGACATCTGGTCTGCTTCTACTGTTTCCTTTATGCTCATGCCATCCTTCTTGCAACTGTTGAGAACTTGAGTTTAAAATAAGTGATGGTATGGTCAAGTTCTTGTGATGCATGTTATCCTTAGGCAAGGCTTAAGGCTAGCTTTTTAACCCCTTTCTATAAGTCTGATCTCTTGAGTACTATTTTCCCTATCTTTTCCTTTGGCAGATGCCGTTACCCAGTATGGTGTTTTTGTTAAAAATCTATGTGGAGGTGACAAGGTAACATTGCTTCTCGGGGTGTTTTGAGCTGTTTGTTTTAATGCCATGCACAATGACAGTTTGGTGTTTCAGCAACTGTTTTCTAATTGCTGGTTTGTGTGTGTGTGTTTTTAAACATGTGTAGTCTAGAAAACTGATAGGTTATTTGTAAAGAGGAATAGAATAAACATGTATTTTTGCACTGCTTCAGGAGTAAAATCTTTTTAGATGTATTACAACTCACTTACCTATGACTCTAAACTTTTTCTTTTATGACATAGTATCATCCAAGAGTGAGGAATATATTTGAGATTCAAAATACTGTAATACTGAAACAATTTGAAACTATTTCTTTTGAAGGAGATGCCTCAAAGAAGGAAAAAGGAAAACTTCAGAAAAATAAGATTCTCTTAAAACGAACCAATTACATAACAAGAAGTTGGTAGGTGTGAAAATCAGATGGTTTCTAATTGCAGTACTTTGCAAAACAAAGTCACTGGTGAATATTCAGAACCCTGGAAGCTGGAGCTCAAGAATTAATAGGGTGAATTGTGTATACCCTGTCAAGTGGTTTAAAAGCTTCTCTCTCGGATAAATTCTTCTTCATCCCCTTGTTCAACAGTTAGTGACAGGTTTTATACAGATCCACCGCAAAACAAAGAGTTGGCTTCACGAATAAGTTTAGTTTTAAATATTGCATAAGACGTAACTGAAACAAGTAGAAGTGTGAAAGAGTTAGAGTATATGATCTGCTAAGGAAAGTCACCAAAACAAGTACTGGAAGTTTATGTGCTCTCGAGTACATAGCTGGAATGGTGATTTTTTTGTTGTTGCTGTTGTTTTTTGCCTGGTGATCTAGACAATAGAGTAAAACACAATGGCGGAGAGCTTCTGATTCTTCAGTGGCTGCCAAGAGTTAAGAGGACTGTATTTGGAAAAAAATCACTCTCTCCCTAGTGAAGAAATAACAGCGCTTCATACCAAAAAGGAGCATTGTTGTAACTACTACAGCTGGTGGCAAACAAAGAATCAGTTATTTGCCTGAAGCATAATGGCACATCAAGAACGGAGAGTGGGAGTCTTTGTGGAGCCGATACTCAAAGCCACAATTAGTAAGGACTTTACCCACATTGATAATAATTACTATTAGTAATAACTGGTACTTTAAAAAGTACTTTACGTGTTAACTAATCCTTAGGGCTGTTTTGTAAAGCAGGCAGGTAACAGGAGAAGCTGGGCTCTGAAAGTGGTACGATTGTGCATCCTGTAAAGTTCAGGTGCTCAGGGTTAAATACCAATGCTCTGATTTTCATTGGCAGCGAGGCTCAGCCACTCCTGTTCCAGTTACATGGAAGTATATGCATTTATTGAGAAGATTGGGCTGAGCTCCTAGCTTGGGTTAACTTCAAAATCAGAAGCACCTTGTGACATACTTTGTTTCAGCCAATTGTCTGAAATTATGTACACCACCAGCAGCAATGAATCCTGTTCTTCTTGTTAGGTGTTCTATTACCCAACATTTAGACTGTGGTACAACTGTTAAAACAGAATGAAAAATGTTCCATTCACAATATTCTTAAATCTACAGGAAAGGGTTAATCTGAAATGTTCTTCCCACCTACCAGTATATAATTATTTTTTTCCTCTCCTGCTTTCTTGTTCCTACTGGTTTCTACAAGTTGATGTACGTTACCTATCTCAAGGGTGTGCAGCATGGGCATGAAGGGACCTTTTACTCCAAATAAACCAGAATTGTACAAAGCTTGTAATAGAACTTGGAGCTTTTCTTAGCAGAGATTGGCAGCTGTTGTGCCTGGAGCATTTATTGTTTCTTAAACAGTTTTACTCAGTTCTGTTTTTCTTGGGTATGCTTATTATAGTACAGTACTTGCAAGACAGGCTTATATTTGACAGTGGAAAAATGGTGACTTCAGGATTCTTTCTAATACTCTTCTGCAGAGCTGGTGTTACTCCATCATGCTTGGCATATTTTTTCTTTTCAAGCCTGGAAGTTTTGAGGCACTTCAACAGAAAACACAGTTACTTTCTAACCGCTTAGAATGTTAATGTTGGCACTGTTTCTGTTTTTATTGCCATCGGCTCCCAAATCTTTGCTTGGTTTAGGAATACATTGTTACACTCAGCCGCCGGACCTGTTGTATTGGTGATATCCTGACCGGTCCCAGCATCGGATGAATATTCTGAGGATGTTGTCGTGAATTTGAATTATCCCATCGCCTTGCCTTTCCGCCCGTGTCACTTGCATTACCATAGACCTTCCACGCTGGTGCCTGTGGGAAGCACGTGAAATCAAGGTCGAACCCCGCTGGCGAAAGCAGCCGCGGTGCCGTACCTGCCGCGCGGGGTGGCGGAAGCTTCCCCGCGGCCTCCTGCCCTGCCGGGCCCCGCCAGCTTCCTCGGGGCCCGGCTGG